TAATACTGCTTTGTGTGAATTTGACCCTGCTGTTTTGATACTATCTGGTTGTTTTGCCCATTAGTTGACGCAGTTTCTTCATTGTGTCAATGGTCTTTACCATTTGGTATGTTTTTGCGTGGCTGGTACTGGTTGTTCCTTTCCACGTTTAGTGCCTCCTTCAGGAGCTCTTGTAAGGCAGGCCTGGTGGTGACGAAATCTCTCAGCAATTGCTTCTCTGTAATGGATTTTATTTCTCCCTCACTTATGATGCTTAGTTTGACTGGATATGAAATTCTGGGTTGAACGTTCTTTTCTTTAAGTATGTTGAATATTGGCCCCCACTCTCTTCTGGCTTGTAGGGTTTCTGCCAAGAGATCCACTGTGAGTCTGATGGGAACCAACCTCTGATAGATTCCAGCTGTTTTTCTGCAACTCCCTCACCTCTCTCAGCCTTCATAGAATTGAAGTGAGTTAAGGCCTTGCTCTGGATTAGGTTTTGGCTTAATGGAATGTTGTGGCTGATTTGATCTTCTATCTAGACCACTAAAATTTCCTCCATATCAGCAATAAGGCTGTTTGGCTTTCATGTCATGCATGCCTACATTGGAGTAGCCATTTTTATTTCCTTCAACAACTTTTGCTTTGCATGTATAAGTTGGCTAACTTTTTGGTACAGGAGTCTAGCTTTCAGCCTATCTTGGTTTTTGACATGTCTTTCTCATTAGGCTTAACCATGTCTAGTCTTTGATGTAAAGTGAGAGATGTAAAATTCTTCCATGCACTTGAACATTCAGAGGCCTTTGTAGAGTTATTAATTGGCCTAATTTCAATATTATGATGCCTCAAGGAATAGAAAGACCCAAGGAGAAAGTTAGAAATGGGAAACTACTGGTCAGTGGAGCAAGAAAACACATCCGACATTTATCCATGAAGCTTTGGGTGCTATATAGGTGCTATTCACGGTGCTTTCAAACAATTGTAATAGTAACATCAAAGATCGTTGATCATAAATAACTGTAGCAGATATAATAATGTTTGGAAATATTGTAAGAATTGCCAAAATGTGACCCAGAGACACAAATTGAGCACATGCTATTGGAACATTGACACTGATAGACTTGCTGGAGGCAGAGTTGCAACAAACCTTCCATTTTTAAGAAAGTGAAGTTCGGTAAATCAAGGTAGTCCTGTGCTTCCCAGCGAGGCTGTGTCACTTCATGTGCGCCTCTCTTTGTTGAGGGGAGGAGCATGAATGAGGTCATACTGGCCCTGAAACAGATCTAAAGTCCAGCTGGTGGCTGGGCACGGTGGCTCACACCTATAATCCCAGGACTTTGAAAGGTGGTGATGGGTGGATCACTTGAGGTCAGGAGTTAGAGACCAGCCTGGCCAACATGGTGAGACCCTGTCTGTACTAAAAATATGGAAATTAGCCAGGTGCGGTGGTGGGTACTTGTAATCCCAGACACTCAGGAGGCTGAGACGGGAGAATCGCTTGAACACCGGGGGAGGAGGGGTGGAGGTTGCAGTGAGCCGAGACTATGCCATTGCGCTCCAGCCTGAGCAACAAAACAAGACTTCATCTCAAAAATAAAAAATATTGTTCAGCTGGTGCCCTCCAGAGGATATGGACCACCCACCAAGCCTCCTAGCCCACCCCTGTCCTGCCTAAGCAGGCAGCCACCACAGTCCTAAAGTAAGACTGAAACAGGAGGGTCCAGGTCACTACCCCTGGGAGGTCCAGGCCACTACCCCTGGTCCTGGCCCAGGTCACTAGCCCTGGAAGGGCTCTGGCTGAGACATGGAAATGAGGGGACCAGAGGGCCTATCCCCAAAAGCCTTGCAGGGTCCCAGACACACAGCACCAAGGGATGTTATGGTGCCTCCCCCACCCACATATAGGGAATCCTGCTGGCTTTGCTCCCAGTAGCCTTCTCATATCCATTCTCTCCCTTATATCCAAAGACATCTTTGTAAGAGGAAGCCGGCCAGGTCACTCCCTAGCCGAAACCCATGGATGACTTCACATTCCTCTGGAAGTTGAATCCAGGTCACTCCTTCAGCTATGAGGCACCATCTCAGCTTTGCTTGTCGCAAACTCTGCCCTGGCCATGCTGGCTCTCTCCCACCAAACCCTTCTGGCTTTTTTTCTGTCTTAGAGCCTTTGCACTTGCTGTTCTTCTGCCTAGAAGGTTCTCTCCACACTGCCTGCCCCATCCCTGTCTTCCAATGGCTGGCTCAGCTCAGGTGGCCTCTGCTCTCAGAGTCTCCCTGACCCTTCCTAAATGAGCCCCACTCTCTCCAGCCAGTCCCCTCCTCATGGCTTCACTTCATTTCTCCATAGCACTTGTCACCTCTGAACTTATCCCTCACTTGGGTGATCATCTGTTTCCTCCATGAGCATCTAAGCCCCATGAAGGAAGGGCCTGTCCTGCTGCATCCATTCCCTCCCTGGGGAACAGTGTCTGTTGAGTGAATGACAGTGTTTGTTGAGTGAATGAAGGATGTTGGCCCAGTGACAGGCAAATAGATCAATGGAACAGAACAGAAATTAGAGAAGAGTTTTCTGTTTTTAAAATCCTGACATAATAAAATAAAATAAAAATATAATTTAACATAATTTTAAAAATAAGCTGGCTGTGGTAGCTCATGCCTGTAATCCCAGCACTTTGGGAGACTAAGGCAGGAGATTGCCTGAGCCCAGGAGTTCAAGGCTGTAGTAAGCCGTGATCCTGCCACTGCACTCCAGCCTGGGAGACAGAAGGGTGAGAATGATAATTAATAATATCAACAATAATAAAAGCATTCTGATCAAACAAAAATATTCTCACTGAAACTTCTAGAAATAGTTACCTTCAAACTGTTATAGGAATATTGGGAACATCGGGGCAGCAGTGAGGCTTTGGGCTGCCCCTGAGTACTCAGGGCGCCTCTGCGTAGAAAGGCAGAAGGACCTCTCAGCACAGAACAGCCTGGGAGATAGATGGCAGCTTCAGCCCTGACCCTCCACCCTCGCAGCACTTCCTGTGAGTCTCTGATAGGAGGAGCTTCATTCCATCCCATGGGGTCTGTTCCTGTCTCTAATTCCATGACGAGCAGGGACTCTGTCTTACTCCACTCCTCCCCATCCATGTCACCACGGCGACTCCCAAACACAACTGTTTGTGTGGGTTGTGGGTACTGGGCCACGATCCAGCCCCTGCCATGGGTCATGCTGTCCCTCTGTCTGTCTGAGTCACACAGCCTGTGTGTTTCTGACCCAGTAAACCCCTCATGGGCAAAGACTTTCTCAGTTCCTCCCACCCACCTTCAACTGCTGGAGCACTGGCTTCCTCTCTTCCCACACTCCCCTGCACCCTGGAAAGACTCCCAGAATGCCAGTTCCTACACTGTCAGTGACTGTCAGCCTGGCCCTTCCCAGCTCACTGTGCACTTCTCCAGGGTGAAGACAGCTTCTTTGTCCCAGTGTCCCCAGCCCACAGCCCGATGCCTGTCACACAGTAGGTACTCTGTAAGCATCTGGTAAATTCATGATCTGGGGACACAATAAACAGCCCCCTTCCTTGCCTTAATTCTGAACAATTATAAACAATAGGTAAGATACACAAAGAAGATATGTCTTCTGTCTAGCCATCTCCTCTCACCTGCACCCCAATCTCTGTAATAGGAGCCGGAGGGGATCTGAGGTCCTTCCAACCCTGGAATTCCCCATCCTATAAGCATGTGGTTCTGTCCTGTCTTGAGACCAAATCATACATCTGGCTCCCTCCCCTGGGCTGCACACCCAGGATACTGGAACACAGTGTGCGTACATTACAGCAATGTCCCAACAGTGTATGGTCATCAGGGCACTGCAGCAAGTGAGAGTTAGGGGATTTGGGTTCTTGTCCCCGCACTTACACTGACTCACCAAATCCCTTCTTCCCTCTGGGCCTCACGGTTTCCTGTTCTGTTAAGTGAGGGGAAGGACCTGGCTGATTCCATCTAATATCTGAGGATCTAACACACAGGTCTAAGCTGCCATGATTACCTTCTGCAGTTCCCTGATTATATTACATGATTCCATTATTATACTTCATGAATCTACAAGGAACTTGATAACATTTTGTGATGTGATGCTATTCTACAATTGTTTAACAACAGTCTCAGATTCTATATGTTGGCTCTTCAGTCCTTAGAAAGCCCAAATGCATGTTTTAAATGAATTCAGTGCTGTATCAATTTTCTACTGTTTCAAAAACAAAAAAAGAATACCACCCTAAAACTTAATGGTATAAAAACACTACCATTTTATCATGTCATGTTCTGTAGGAAACTGGGCTCAGCTGGGCTGTTCTTCTGCTCTATGTGATATCTGGGGCTGCAGCGGAATATCAAAATGCTCAAGGTAGCTCATTCGCATGGCTGGCAGTGGTGCTGACTGTCGCTGGGAACTCAGCTGGGGCTTTGGTTTTCCTTCTCATGGCCTCTCCATGCGGCTTGGGACCGGCTGGTTCTATGAGGCAAGAATTAGAAACTGCCAGTTCCCTTAAGGCCTAGACTTGGATGTCCCAGAACCCCACTGCATTCAAAAGTTGCGGAAAGAAGCTCCATGTGGAGAGTAGCATGCCTGTGCAGGGAATGGAGGGAGTGTTTGGGAGGAAAGTGTATCTTTGGAGACTAACCTCTGCAAACACTGACACCATCTAATTAAAGCACCTGCTAAAAACAGATGAAGAAACATGCTGGAGTCCAGTAGCAGTTAAAGTGTCATCTGTCTGCCAGAGCCTGGGAACTAATGTTGGGTACTCCTGCTTGCCTTTGCTATGTAAGAAATGAGGACGCCCCAGCAAGTGTGGAGGCAGCCTGAGGACTGAAAGCCTTTGCGCCTGCCCCTTCACTCCCATAGCACCACGACTCAAGTGACTCTGTGCCTCTCCCTGAGCCTCAGTTTGCTCTTCTGTAAAATGGGGACATCGGTCTTGAAGATGCTGAAGGTACCTCCACCCCTAAACTTCTCTGTCCCTCTGTGCTCCTAGGTACTCCTTCCAGGACGAGGAGGACATGTTCATGGTAGTGGACCTGCTCCTTGGGGGAGACCTGCGCTACCATCTGCAGCAGAATGTGCATTTCACAGAGGGGGCTGTGAAACTCTACATCTGTGAGCTGGCGCTGGCCCTGGAGTATCTTCAGAGGTACCACATCATCCACAGGTAACGGGGCTGCTGGCAGGATGCCAGGGCATCATGGGCTAGGGTTTCCAGAGCAGTCTGCTGTAGTGGGGAGAGAATTTCGTCCCTGACGTGGTTTAGAAGAGGTAGTACATGGGGGAAAAAAGCAGAACACTTTTCTTCCTATTTCTTTTACGTTCTCTACAAGGGACACCTAGACCTCCCATCCTGTACCTGTACACTACTGCTTAGAGACATGGCTGGTGGCTGGTCTTAGCTTCTGTGCTCCTGCCTGGGGAAGCTGGAACATTCTGTCCTTCTTGTCTCAAGTCAGAAGGAATACAGTGGAATTATTTTACTAGCGAGTTGAGAGTGTGAAGGATTCTACTCTCTTTTTTTCCATACTTTGAAATCAGTGCTGTGCATTGCGGACAATCCCTTTCTCTTGGGAAGCCTCAGCACTGGCCCTGGGCTTTTGCATAAAAGCTCTGAGTTTCTGCGGCCTCCTCAGGGACCTTGCTTCTCCCTGCTGTGCACAGCGGTGCTATGTCCTACACAGGTGAGAAAAGTGACTTTGTCTGCAGAAGGTGGAACTCAATGAGAGGCTCTGGAAAGTGATGGTATCATTTATAACTCTTCTCACTGACCCCAGAGGAGGCAGCTGGTGTGAGGGGCTCCAAATTGGTTTACCCATGATCTTGCACAGTGCTTGGCTGATCTCCTTGTAATTTAACTAATTTTGGAAGATTTGGAAAAGATGAGGACTTGAACTTCTAGGTAAAGATGACAGATTAAGCACATACGCCTACATTTTTCCCTCCTTAAACTCCATTAAAATGACAGTAAGGAATATTTGAAATGTGACAAGGTTATGAAGATAGGGAAAACTGAAAGGGGACTACAGTAAAAACAGTGTGGGAAGCTGGAAAGAAAGATGTAGAGTGATCAGTGACTTAGGATACCAGAAACTGAATTTAAATTTGCTGCTGGGGAGAGTCAAGAACTAATAGATGCTAAAGAATCCCCCAAACGCTCAGGAATTGGCAGCACCTAGTATCTATGGAATGGGGGCAGTTGGTGAAAAGAGGCTATAATAAGGTTGTCGAAAACTTCTTACATGCTATTAAGAAACACAGACCTCTTTCTGAACTCTGCAGAACCAGGTGGTTGCCCCCTTCCTTACCCAAAAGGAAGAACAAAAGGTTAGTCCCCTAATGAGGGTAAAATGGAAAGTGTCTGGGCTGAAGGACATCAAACCTGCCTGGGTTGGGATACTGTACTAAAAATGGCAAGATTATATGAACATACAATTACTAGATGCCGAAATGACACCCTCCCACCCTAACTGGGGTCAGAGAATGGTGTCTTTATGCCTTCATCCTCTACACAGAGAACTTGAGTGATCTCAATGGGAATGTGACTGAGCCAGGAGGAAAGAGATTGTCCCATCAGAGGTTTTCCAGGCACCTTAGAGTGTAGGTCACAGTAAACAAGCCCCAATCATTCATTATCAGCTCCCAATTAAGTTAATGACAACATAGGATTATCAGACATCCAGGGAAATTTTCTAACTTGAATATCAAGATCTAAACAATAAAATGAAAATAAAAATAAAGCTTAGACTAAACAGTGACTCTGGAAACATCAAAATAAATATGATCAGTGTTTTCAGAGGATAAAAGCAGAATTCTGCATGAAAAAAGAAATAACACTTTTTAAAATTCAGGGAACAAACATCAGAGCTCTTAGAAATCAAAGTGTGAAAGCAGAAATTTAAAGAACTCAAAAGATGTGTTGGAAGATAAAGCCGTTATACTTTTCTATAAAGTAGAGTAAAAAGACAAAAAGAAAATATGAGAGAAAACATAAGAAAGTTAAAGAATCCATCTTCAGATTTCAACACTAGGAAGAATAAAGAGAAAACATAAGGGAGAAATCATCAATGAAATAATTAAACAACAATCTCCCGGACCTGAAATACATGAGTTTCCATATTGTGGTAGCCCACCAGGGGCACAGAGTAATGGCTAGAAACAGACACACACCAAAACAAATGTCAGATTTGATAAGCTTCCAGAGAAGAGCCACAGGTCATAGAGACTGAAGAATCAGAATAGTTTTGAATTTCTTTTTTTGTTTTTGTTTTCTGTTTCTTGAGACAGGGTTTTGCTGTGACTCAGTCTGGAGTGCACTGGTACAATCATGGCTCACTGCAGCCTCAATTTCCTGGGCTCAAGTGATCTTCCCATCTCAGCCTCCTAAGTAGCTGGGGCCACAAGCACACACCACCATCCTTGGCCATTTTTTTTTGGTATTTTTTGTAAAAACGGGTTTCAACACGTTGTCCAAGGTGGTCTCAAACTCCTGAACTCAAGCCACTCACCCACCTTGGCCTCCCAACGTGCTAGGATTAGAGGTGTGAGCCACAGCGCTCAGCCAGTTTTGCATTTCTTAAATGCTACAAGGCAGTGTAGATATGCTGCTCAACCACGTGTGAGGGTGGTTGGAACATTTTCCCCAGTTCCAGGCCTCAAAAAGTGTCACTCCCATATACTTTTTCTTAGGTACTAGGAAAATGAGACGGACTCCAAAATGAAGGAATGAATCAGAGGATAAAGAAATGGAATACAGAAAGCTGGAGCTCCAGCAAAGCAGATAGGCATAGGAAATCTCCAGGATGCTGCTGAGGGGATGTCAGTTGTGCCTCACATGTGTACCATGACCAGTTCTTGATTAGCGTGGATCAGAGGCTCTGGAAGAGAGTTATTCGGAAAAGTGAAATTCCTGATGCATCTGGCCTTGAGTGGAGATTCATTTAGTTGGTAAACAGTTAGAACCCGTGAACACAGGGAGGGGAGCATCACACACTGCGGTCAGTGGGGGGCGCTGGGGGAGGGACAGCGGGGGTGGGGAGGGTGGGGAGGGATAATGAGGGGAGAAATACCATATATAGGTGATGGGGGATGAAGGCAGCAAACTACCTTGCCATGTATGTACCTATGCAACAATCCTTCATGATCCGCACATGCATCTCAGAACCTAAATTACAATTTAAAAAAAAAAGAATCTGAAATTGACTTATGAGAGGTTTGGAAAAAAAAAACTCAGTGAAATAACATTATTAATTTTAGGGAAGAAAAATGTTCACAGGACAACATCCGTGTAGAGTACAGCTCACTAAGTGGGTCGGCTCTGTATATAATACCTAATCGTAATCGTACCACCTAAACCCTGAAAATCTAACCAAAAACTCAGTGATAGTCCATCAAGAAACTGGGGAAATGGGAAGGATGACTGGGTCTCTTGGTATTGGAGAAATACTGCTAAATCTTTATCTTCTCTAGTAGGAAGTCCAGTCTCCAGGGAGAACTTGGAGTTAAGTGAAGGAGTCACTAGAAGTCTATCGTTTAGAGATAAGGAGTTGGATACCAAAATTGTAATCTGGAACAGATGAGTGGATAGAGAAGGATAAATGGGGGAGAAAGTGATAGGATTAATGCTATTAACAAAATGTGTTTGTAACAGAAAGTGACAGGGATTGTTGTATTGAAACAAAACTTGCCAAATTATCTGGCTCTTTGAACTATTTGCATATAACTTTGATACAAATAACAATAACAAGCACAACAAAATGAAGAAGGGGGAGAAGGAGAATAGTAGTAGTAACGTTATTGTTCAAATACACAATCGTTTATTCACTCAGGCATTCACCAGCTTTGAAGGAATGCAGGCATTCTGGTTCTGGAATCTGTTTGTAAGTGTGGTGCTGTACTTCCTAAAGAAGGTCACGCCGTGGCAGAGCATGCATTGTTCCCTGATGGGGTTTCTTTGAAGGTGCTGAAAGAGTTCTTTACAGATCAGTTATGTATCTGTCATTCATCAACTACTGTAGCCATTCATGAACTAGAGTGCAACAGGTAGATGATCCATGTGTCCAAATTCCCTGAGACACTAGGTCATGTGGACATTGGTGAGCTAAATTCCAGTGTTCCAGAGCTGAGCCTGGGATGAACAAAGAAGGAAATGGGAACTGTTGCATGACAGCATGGCGGGCTGGGGCCATTTCGTTAAGATTCACTAGATTTCAGAAAAAGTTTAAAGTCATTCTCAAATATGCCTCTGGTGGAGGTCATCTGCTCTTAGATTCCAGGTCTACCCTGGGGAAAAGGAGCTATCCAGTAATTTATGGGAATGTTTTAACGTCTACTAAGCGAATGTGTAAAGGTTAATTTTCTGTGTCGATTTGACTGGGCTAAAGGATGCTGAGAGAGCTGGTAAAACATTACTTCTGAGTGTGTCTGTGAGGATGCTTCCAAAGGAGCTCAGCATTTGAATAAGTGAGCTGCATGAAGCCAATGGCCCTTCCCAGTGTGGCGGGCATCAGCGATTCCACTGAAAGCCTGAATAGAATGAAAAATTGGAGCCATTCATTCCACTTGAGCTGAATCATCCGTCTTCTCCTGTCCTCAGTCATTGCTGCTCCAGGTTTTTGGGCTTTCAGGTTTAGACCAGGACTTATGCTAGCAGCCTCCCAATTCTTAGGCCTTCATACTTGAACTGAATTACACCACCAGCTATCCTGGGTCCCCAGCTTGCACACGGCAGATCACAGGACTTCTCAGCCTCCAAAACCCCGTGAGCCGACTCCCATAATAAATCTCTGTTATATATGTATATCTGTCTTCTATTTCTTTTGTTTTTCTGGAGAAACCTACTACAGTTGAATTACCTTACCAAGTCTAAAATTATAAACTTGGCAGAGATTTGAATCAGTCTTTTTTACCCCCTTCCATATGGCTCATAAATCCCCCTTTCAGTGTGTGTATGTGTAGATTTGAAACTATGTGTCTGAACACAACCATGTGTAAGGATGTATGGAAATGCTGTGCAACGTTTTGCATTAATTCAACAGCTGAATTCATGAATCCTCCGCTGCCTATGTACCAGACACTTTCAATGCCATATTTATATGTTGCTTCTTTCAAAGTAGCCACACGTGGAAGTAGAGGAATTATCCCACAAATGCAAGCCTGGGTTAGATT